TGTCTCCGCGCTGTTGTCGCCCTGTTGATGATGTCAGCTACGCGGTTTCGTCGAGCGCGGTTTAGTCGAACGCGGTTTTGTAGTGCAACCCTCCTGGGGACTGGAGGGGAGCAAAAACAAGCAAAAAAACAGTCCATTTTTTGTGAAAACAGGCCTGTTTGTCAAAAACAGGCATGCATAGCCTTTAGGAGGCTTTAGGAGGCTTCTGAGAGCTGAGGGAGCAAAATTGAGCAAAAAACAGCCCGTTTTTCGCTCATTTCTGTTCTCTCCAGCCCCCAGGAGCACTTTGGAAGCCTCCTAAAGGCTATACTTGGCCATTTTGGTGAAGGGGGTGGGGTTTGGGGAGGCAAAAAATGCTGTATTCGGTGTATAAGACACACCCAGATTTTCAGCCTCTTTTTTCAGGGAAAAAGGTGCGCCTTATAGACCGAAAAATACGCTTCAAAGACCTGACAATAGAAGTGGAATGACTGTGACAAAAAAGGAAACATAGTACCAGCAAAAAAAGGTGTGTGCAATCCCAAAACATCTGGAGCACCTTTTCAATTCCATTGGTGTTGACAAAATCTCCATCAGTCAATTGCAGAAGGCAGCATTATTTACAATAGCCTACATCACGCAACAATACCTTTAACACCATCAGACAACTGCCTATGCCAAATTTTTGAGAAGGGTTCAATCGGTGCATAAAAATGCCAAATCCAGTCTAAACATCTGGCTGTCTATGTGACCAACCATGATGATGGCAATGGCAGTGCTTATATTGACAAAAGAATCAAATATGATGCTGATGCTGATGCTGATTTTCCTTCCACTGTACAAATGAAAGGGGGGAGAGTTGCTTCCACCATTAGTCTCCCTCAAATTATCATCAACCAATTTAGATAATGCTTCTACAGCTCAACACATAGGCTCAGGTTCTACTCACCTTTATTTTAAAGTCTCAAGCAATATTTGCTGTTAAAAGTGAGCGATCCTAGAAAAACCATAGTGTTGCTGATCACATGAAAGCACCAAATTGTACACCTAGTGTTGCCATCTAGTAGTTCTTTCTTCACTTTCCTTTGCCCATCGAATAAGTCAAGCATCATTTCAAACTGTGACTTACACTAAGATCAGAACATCTTTGCTTGAACTCTTCTACCTGTTCCAAGGAAGAGAACATCAACGTGTCCAGCTTCTGTCTCCATTCTGTCCACCAACAGATGCCGGATATTGAAAGGCACATTGACTCTAATCAGAACGGGCTTCCTGTGGAGTGGATAGATGGGGTCCCACATCAGATGATGGCTGCGCATGAAGCTAATCACTTCGTCGGGGAAGTCCTTGGTTGACTGCAGGAATGGGTCATATGTTTCACTGGGGCACTGGCAGGAAGAACGGACATTGAAAAAAGAATGATGCAAAAGTATTAACTCCACAAAACATAGTCTTGTGTTTTAAGGCAGCTAAATCTATTAATATCACAATTCAGGCAATTTTTCATCAATTGTCATGTATGACTGCATATGGCATGATCGCTTTCCTGGGCTGTGATAATGTTCTGCATTTTCTGAAACCTCTCTACTTACAGATTGGTGAAATTTCCCGGGACAAACTGCTTCAGGACCATTTATGGAACCCGTGAGTGGATCCAGGACCCCGATTAGTCATCTCAGAAATGAATCATGCAGGGAAAAGAGGCCTTGAAGAGCCCTTGTTACCCAGGTGGGATTAGACAACTCCCAGAAATAACCTAAACGTAAAGGTAAAGTTCCCCTCACACATATGTGCTAGTGGTTCCCACCTCTAGGGGGCGGTGCTCATCTCTGCCAAAGAGCCAGCGCTGTCCAAAGACGTCTCTGTGGTCATGTGGCCGGCATGACTAAATGCCGAAGGTGCACAGAACGCTGTTACCTTCCCACCAAAAGTGGTTCCTATTTTTCTTGCATTTTTACATGGTTTTGAACTGCTAGGTTGGCAGAAGCTGGGACAAGTAACGGGAGCTCACTCCGTTACATGGCGCTAGGGATTTGAACTGCCAAACTGCTAATCTTTCTAATCGACAAGTTCAGCGTCTTAGCCACTGAACCATCGCGTCTCTTTCACAACCTACAGTAGTTTAACTCTTAGTAGCAGCAAATATTTTCTCTAGTCAGTCTTTATATGAACAAGTTAGAGAAAAAGTGACTAAGGAGAGTTTTATGTACATACTGTTCCAGGACGAGGGTAAGGGATCCGTCCCTTATATTCAGCCCACTGATAATCAAAGCCTTCCTTGTGTGCAAAAGGTCCATTGAAGGCAGCTCGAATGGCTGCCAGGGAATAAACACACACTGCAGAACCACTAAAAATGCCACTGGGGAAAGAAAAAGAATAATGTAGGGAGATGGACAGTATTGATACATAAATCAGTCCAAGAGATATTTCTTTGTACCATTCTGCCCAAACATGCCTTTGAAAGATTTCTGCCTTAGAAAAGACTTTCTAACTCATTTAAAGGTCATGAAATGGGAAGGCGGAATGCCTGAAGTGACCTTAGAGAAGATGACCTTCAGAAAGCCATTTTGTTTCAAAAGCATTCTCACTGCTCTTCTCATCTTTAACAGGGGGGGGGGGGGCTTTGCTCTCATCAATTTTCTTCCGGGACATTCCTTAACTCAGTTAAAGCTGAAGATTATGGGAGCACTGAGATTCAACACATGGGGATCACTGCCTTAGTTCTTCCCAGCAGCCTCCTCCTTCATCCAGTCAGGTAGGATACAGTGACAGGCACCATTTCTGCAGGAATTTGAAAGAGCTACAGCAGAATCTTGTTTCCGTGTATCAATCCATTCAGATGGATTAATGTGCATGCATTCTATAACTGAAATAACAGAATAACAGAGTTGGAAGGGACCTTGGAAGCCTTCTAGTCCCAACCCCCTGCTAAAGCAGGAAACCTTATACTATTAGAATAATAAGCACTATTTTCATTCCTGCTGATCCATGGCCACAAACAATTCTTCTCTTTTGTCATATTCATTGTAAATGTTTACGCTTACCTGGAAACTGTGAAGAGGCCATAAACCAGAGGGTTCTGTATATTACGGGTTTGAAGGAGGAAGACGTCTTCTAGAATACAGCAGGACACACCCAATTTAGGGAACACCTTTGAATAACCCCCCCCCCCCCTCAGCTAGGATCACAGACTCTATTCTAGAAAGGGCAGCTCTCAATATGCAAGTAACCTTACCC